AGCAAATGCGTGGCATTTGGTGGGAGTAACACGAAATGAATGTCATTCAGCTCGCAGCATTCTAGAACGTGTATTGAGATATGGCTTGTAAGGTTGTTTCCGATGAGGATCTTCTTTCCTGGCAGATTTTCAAAATATGTTAGGAGAATCTTATCGAACCAATTTTCGAATGTTGGAGCGTCAAACCATCTAGACTTGGTTCGGTTGCACAATGTTCCTTTGGGTCCCCCCTTCTATTCAGGTCGGATATAAGTGCACAGCCTAATAAACGACATAACGACATATGGTGGCAATAGCTGCCCTGCTGCAGTTACTGCCATCATACCCGACATGCTAGATTTGCTCGAGTCTATTATCGTTTCCACCCTTTTAGACCCCCGTCGACATAAGACTTTCTGTCGTCCTGGATCATCCGTAAGATTAGTTTCGTCATAGTTGACGATGTGAGTGGGCATGACATTTTCCAGGGTTTCTTCTAAATTTTGAAAATATTCGTTTATAGTCTATTTGTTGACATTTGCCCGACATCTTTTGATATTTTGAGCAAATCTTTCAGTCAAAATTTTGTGTCTTTTCAGGAAGTTATGAAACCATTCGATTCCTGGTAAATTGTCATTGAATCTGGTGATTTTTCGTCCCTTTCTGTCCAGCTAATTTTTCACGAGCATTCTTATATCCCTGCCAGTCATAGGAAACCCCCATTCAGCAAATTTAGTGATTCTGTCTGCTATTATTCTCTCCTCTCGACCGGAAATCACAATTTGTCCGCCATGTTTTTAATTTTTTTCATTTTTGATTTCATCGTGCAATGTAGATTTTGAAATTTTGTAATCTTCAGCTGCTTTTCTCAAAGTTTTGCGGCCATTTTTTATATCATTTATCGCACTTTCCAATGTCTGCCCATCATAATTTTTGAAGTTGATGCCTATTTTCTTTTTATAGTGCCTCACCATTTTGTCCGACTTCGACCCACCTGAAGACAATTTTTCATGAATGTATAGTTTGAAAAAAAATCAACACATTCAGATCACTATTCTAGGCAAATAGGTTGAGGATGAAGCCCTTGATACTTTAATCCCATAATTTTATCTATAGCTTATCAAACCATTTATGTACAGAAGTTTCTAATTGACCTTGAAAAAATACTGCAAAAAAACAAATTCAATCAAAAACTTACCAGTACGCCACTGCGTAAATTCTTTTGAACCGACACCCGTTCACTAGCACACCTAACTCGTTACTGACAAGATCAGGCCTGTTTGGGGATTTTAAGCGAATCATTAAGATGACCTTGAAGAAAACAATCGAACATGCGCTTCTGTCCGCGATCGCCCCTACTGTCCGACTCCGCCCCAGATGGGGTACATACATTTTTGATTGTATTTGAAGTCACCTGTTAACTGCTATTGTTCCTGTCGTGTATAACTCACCAGGTTCAAACAACAGTCAATGTCAATTCCAGTTAATTCTGTCAATGTTGATCCTACAATCTAAGGAATGTCATCTGTTTCCTCAGGATTCGAAGTGGAATCTGCATTATTCACCTAATTCATAACATTGAAGGATTTGAGAGATTTCAATGGAACATGGCCCGTATGTTTTCTCATATGATGGGCAATCTCTGTCGTGAACATTCAATTCAGGTATCAAACTCCTGTAGCAGCGCGCAATCAATAATCCTCTGGAAAAGAAATATTCCTCACATTTGTTGCAGATCATATTTTGAATTTACTGAAAAAAACAGGATCAAACTCAGCGCTTTGTAGGTACATAATATCTGGGTATACTCACGATTTTTGACTCAACACTGATCCTACTGAACCATGCACATGTAGGTATATAACTGTTGAATCTACTAACATGAGCATACATTTTATTCACCGAATAACTCAAACTGAAAAACCATGAAAACGGAACCAGTTACAAATTCGAAGTCTGCCTCTTCGCTAAGGCTAACCTTTGATGCCAGCGTGTAGAGATTTTGGGATCGAAAGACTTCGATGTGATTTGGTTCAAGCTAGTCGATACCAAACTGTCCAAATTCATCTGCTGCCTTCACCTATCGCCTAATGATAATGAATATAACAACCTCTTCGAGTTTTTATCACTCAAACTGGACTCCATTCAGGAGAACCATCCAACAGCTGAAATCATGATCATGGGAGACTTCAATGTACACAATGCCGCCTGGCTCAAATCCTCTAACAAAACAGATGATGCAGGTCGTCAAACTGAGGCCTTCGCCATAACTCATTGTCTAGAACAACTTGTCGAACTACCAACTCGCATTCCAGATGTCAACAACCAGCCTGCCAATACACTAGGGCTTTTTCTCAGCAGCAATCCTGATCCATATAGAATAGAAGTTTGTGCCGCACTTGGAAACTCTGACCACACCCTCATATCCGCAACTTGTCCTTTCCATTTATCATCCAACACCACAATTCCTACCCGTCTCATTTGGCATTTCAATTCGGCCGACTATAGAAAATTTCGTATGTTTTTGTCAGCGTTTCTATGAAAGAGTGTTTGTTTCTCTTCAGCTGATCCAACACGATGTACTGAGACAATTTCTTCAAATCATCATGTCGGTGATGCAATCCTACATACCGAACACTGCAAGGAGAACATCTTCCAATAAGACCTGTTTCACTAGAAACTGCTCTTGAGCTGTCGCTTCCAAACAGGCAGCATTCTATCGATGGCAGAAAAATCCAGGCCCTGAGACTTAAGCAGAATATGTCGAGGCTAGTGGCATGTGCAAGGAGACAATCCGATCATGAAAGGGTGCTCATAATGCCAAAATAAGATCAAAACTTGTTGAATGTCCTAACGGATCCCGTTCATTTTGGTCCTTCGCCAAAGCTGTAGGAAGAAACTTCACTTCCAGCTCGTTTCCTCCTCTAACCAAGGAAGATGGAAGACTAGCCACAACTGCCCAGGAGGAAGCCAACATTTTTGCGCATTTATTTGCTGGAAATTCCACTCTGAATTCATGGGGAAAACAACCTCCAAACATAACGCCAATTGACATATGCCCGAGATCACCTCTTGCCAACGTACTATAAGGAAGATTTTATTGAGACTCAACACCAACAAAGCTTGTGGCTCCGACGGAATCTCACCGAATGTTCTCAAAAAATGTGCTTCCGCACTAACACTCGTCTTCTGCAAGTTGTTCTACTACTATTACAAATTGGGAATATCTTCGTCCAACTGGACAATTGCAAGAGTAAAACCAGTTTTTAAAAAAGGCAGAAAGACCCTACCTAGCAACTACAGACGAATCGCACTGCTATCTATCAATACCAGGATCATGGAGAAAGCTATCAACATCGAGCTCATCAACCTACTCGCTTACGTCTCACATATTTGGCAGCAATCTATTGAGAATTATGGTGAAACCTTACCCGTGACACTCGAAATCTCCAAGGCACCCGATCGAGTCTGGCACCACGGACTCGCCGAGCTTCCATCTTATGGCTTGCCTCCCCAGCTATGTTCTCTGCTAGGTATTTTTCTATCAAACAGGTTTCTCCATGTAGTGGTCGACGGAGTTCCATCTGACTCTCTTATCATCAATGCTGGAGTTCCGCAAGGATCAATTCTAGCACCAACACTTCTTCTACTCCACATCCTCGATTTGTTGGAAGCAACTTCATGTCCAGTATACAGCTTCGCGGATGATAGAACCCTCCATACTGCCTTCTCTTCCAGAGCTTCAATACCAGCCAGGCAGATTAGAAACGAACGAGGGAGAAATGTTGACAACATGAATATGGATTAGGCAACAATTCTCGAATGGTGATCCAATAACTTGGTAGATTTCAATCCAAACAAAACACAAGCATGCCTTTCCTCTAGAAAAGCCGGTCTCACTATGCCCAACATAAGCTTGTCAGGAGTAACCATACCCATTTCGATGCTAAAAGTGCATTCCAAAAACTTGGTTTTCTGTTTCGAGCCATATGATCTATAAGACACAGATCCGACCTGTCCTGAAACACTGTTACCATATTTGGAGTGCAGCACCCAAACATATCCTGAAACTGTTGGATTCTGTTCAAAAAAGGGCAGTTCGTCTCGTGGATGATGCTTCGCTCAGAAACTCACTAACTTCTCTGGAACACCGTAGAACAGTTGTCGATCTGGCTCTATTTATTTCAACCTTAGCACAGAAATATTGTATATGTATATAATCGAAAAAGTATCCTTTCAATGAACGAATAGTTGCTGTTGATTTGAATGGATAATGAGTAACATTGAATACATTTCGAGTTGAAAACTGACGAAAAAATTGTTGTGGTAACAAAATATTCTGTCGGGAATATAATATGACACTGAGATTTTGTTAAATCAACGAATTTTTCATTGATTCGTAGTAGTATTTTCCTCTGTCTATTGTTGTCAAGTATTCAAACCTACAGTTTATTTCTAGAAGGATCCATCAACTGATAATTTGTTCTCGAAAGTCATTAGCTGATTTTCCGTCTCGATAGAGAGAATTGTCATGTACTGCATGGAGAAAAAACCTCAACAAGACGAATGAATTATGCATTGGGAGCAAATGAGTTAAAACTCTCGCTGAGGTAATTACTTCAATACTTACAACCAATAGTTCGAATATTCAACGTGAATAATTGATGATCTGAGATTGATTTATAGCAAGTATATCGTTCAACTAGGACAAAATGTTCACTAATTCATAATGTGGTGCGCCACTGATCGCGATATTCGCGAGTGTTCCATTAGGATTCTCTGTCAGACCCATAGAAAGGGATGGCAGATAAAGGAGAGCAATACCGGCGAGCACGAAGCTGAGCGCGGGATGCGAGTGTTGCCATTGTGTTGTTCCACACCCTACAATTGTACTAAATTCAGTACAATCCGACTAGAAAGAGTACAACAGCACCTCTCTGCCAAATTTAGTACAATTTGAAATAATTCTGAACCTAGACAACTATACTTCTTCGCAAAGGCAAGATGCATTTCTCCTAAAGATGAAGAAGAAGAAATTATTTGTAATGTCTCATATCAACAGGCTGAAAAGAAAAGAAACAAGAAAATTTGTGATCATCGTGGTGACTTGTGACGTGAGTCGTGAGTCAATCGTATAGATATGTCAAAGATATGTCAATGTCGATCGTATTGATGTCAGCAGTCGTATTGATATGACAAAAAAATAAGAAAATAAAAAACTGCTGCTAAGTGGAGGATTATGGAAAAGTAAATATTAGTTATAATTATTATTATTTGTACCTAACCAGCATCAATCTTTGTTTCTAGGTTTTTAATGAAAAGTAATGATAAGCTTGAAAAAATAGAAAGTCAAACTCAATTAACTAAAAACTCATGTCAAATAGGCTCAGAAGAGTCAGAAATACCAGAATCAGAAGTTGGCGTTCTCCCTACCCTTCATAACTTAGCTAGGTACACAATACAAAATGAATTAGAATTTTGAGAACTTCACTACTTTCAGGTGATATTATTTTTTCAGGATAACAGAAGTTGAAAATGTGGACCCCAACAATGTTTCTGAAACAGATAATGAGAATGAGCATAAAGATTATGAACCAAAGCCCAAAAAGAGGTATATTCAAAGATTTTCCGAAAAGTGGAAAGATAACTTTGAGTGGGTTGAAGAAAATACTGGCAGCAAAAGATGTAAAGTTTGTAGTGTAAATATACAAGGATCATCGTTTCATTTGAAAAGACACAGTGAAAGTATCACTCATAAAAGTAAAATGAAGGCTTTTAAAGTAACACCAAGATTCAACGAATTTGTAAAGGACCAGAACAAAAAAATTCAATTAGCTATGTTAGCAAAACAAGCTGAACTTAAGATGGTAACTTATCTGTGTGTTCATAATCTGCCATTTAGATTGATAGACACTTTACCAACTGCATGTGCAGATATGTTCAGTGATTCTGAAATAGCCAAACAGTTGAAAATTAAGAGAAAAAAAGCTACTCAAATAGCTGTTAATACTTTGGGGCCATCAAATATAAATAACATTATAAAGAAACTGAGGAAATCATACTTCTCAATAATAATTGATGAGAGTACAGATATCAGCACTAAAAAGAGTTTAGTTGTAATGGTCAGATTTTGGGATGAAGAATTACAAACAATAAAAGATAGGTTCCTTGGATTATTAGAAGTAGAAGATGCCAGTGCTGAGGGTCTCTTTCAGTTAATTAAAAGCAAAATTTTGGATAAATATAAACTGCCTTATTCAAACATTATTGGTTTGGGGGCAGATGATGCCAGTGTAATGATGGAAAATATAGCAGGGGTAAAAATGAAATTTAAAGCTATATCCCCCAATATTGTCATTATAGGATGTACATGTCATTCCTTGCATCTGTGTGCTTCACATGCAGCAAAGAAATTGCCCAGTAGCGTAGAGCAACTTGCGAGAGACATATACACATATTTTGCTCACAGTTCAAAGCGTCAGGAGGAATTAAGGGAATGTCAAATTTTTGCTGATGAAAAACCACAGAAAATGCTACATCCCAGTCAGACACGATGGTTGTCATTGAAGGTTAGGATAAAATAACATCATAAATACCATTCTTACAATCATTTCTATACTTGATTTTTAGGTGGTCTCATCAAGAATTCTGGAACATTGGAATTCCCTTATTCTCTTTTTTCAAAGGGCAGCTTATGAAGATGGTATACCTGCAGCACAAAATATACTGCATGGATTACAGAATAACATTTTCAAAGTATATTTTTCATTTCTAGCATATGTTCTTGATATCATAACAAAAATTAACCTGGAGTTTCAATCTGAAACTCCAAAGTTACCAGTTCTGTTAGAGAGGGTTAGTTCTTTATTCAAAACAATTTTGAAATCTTTCATTAAGAAAGAGATAATTATATCAAATAACAATGATTTGAACAAGATTGATGTCTCTAATCCACATATCTATTTGTCAGTTAATAAAATGTATTTTGTAGCCAAAGTTGAATTACTCATAAATGATAGTAATTCTAAGCTAGATGGAGCTGAATTGAATCATTTTAGAATTCGTGCTCTAGACTTTTATGTGGAGCTTTGTAAAGAAATTAAAAAAAGATTTAATTTTTCTGATCCTCACCTAATATTTGCTGGTAATTTCACCCCTGATATAGCACTTTCCGGTGATATTTTATCAATTGCAAATTTCAAGATTTTATATCCAAGTTTAGATATTGATGTTGAAGAAGTAAATACTGAATGGCAATTATTGTCTGAAAGTGAGTACTTGAAAAAACATAAAACTTGCGATATACTTGAATTTTGGCAGATTGTCAGGAAACAAAATAATGCCTTGAATCAGCCTATATTTAAAAATCTTGTCAGGGTAGTTTCATACGTTTTAACATTGCCACATTCATCTGCTACCTGTGAAAGAGCATTTTCACAATTAACTTTGATAAAAACAAAACCCAGGAATAGGCTTCTCATTAGTACCTGTGAAGCAATAATGCGAGTGAAAGATGAGATTACTAATGGTTTGAATTGGAATTTGATAGTGAAATGGAAACTCTGGATGATGATATTTTTTGAAATGTGAAATAATTTTCCGTGATATTTTTATGCTGGAACTATTTTTTTTTAAATCTATTATAGTATTCATTTTTTTTATTATGCCAAAGAATGTTGAATTATTTTTTTATTTTATTAATAAAACGTTTTTCAGAATCAGCCATGTTTCAATTTTGAATTTGGCGCCACTTTTTGAATTAAGTACAATTTAGTACAATTGTCATCCAATTTCCAGTACAATTATTTTAGTCCATGGAACAACACTGATAGTTGCCAAAGGGTGGTTAGGAGTTGAGGAGAGGCAGTTGGGTACTGGCGGTCAGCCTGTAAAGAAGGGCCAGTAAACGCCAACGCTTAAAAGAAAAGACGAAAGACGCTCTATATGGAGAAACGATAGTTTGGAAGCAGAAGTTGCTAAGTTGAAGTTCCTGACACCAATTCACAGGAACTGCTGAATAGTCTATTTGAAGATCTGAGTAGTAGATGTGAAAGCTGTGTTGTTGCACAGAGACCCTCACCTCGTTAGAGATACATTGGGTGATATCCAGGTATTTATGGACCTTTTGATATTGACTGGCTGAAGTGATTTTGGGGATTTTGGGTGGTGAAACTTTTATCGAGCGTTATAAAATCATTGCGATTTCGTACCTATGTAGTTGTGTATAGTTAGATACCATAGTCGATCATCCGAAGTAGGCATTCACAATTGTGAAGTTGTTGATATCCTATTATATTTATTTTACTGAGGTTACTTTACTTCTCGAACCCTAACTCTACCCAGAGAGTATAGAGCATTTCATTGGCACCCAACTAAGTGGCGAGAAATAAAGGAAATCTTTTGTAAAATTATTGAAGGTATTGTTTACTTGTTGTTTAGATAAGCGTGGGGTGATTTCATGGTCAGTCAAGTTTTTATGGATGGTTAGTACAGTATGTAGTAGATGGAGGTGTTGCCAAATGTATAATTATACTGTAGAATTGATGAAATAATTGCATTTCGAGATTTACGTTATATATCTAGGAAAATATGCATAAGAAATCAAAAAAACAACAATCGGGTAGGAAAACAGTTGAAGATTTGGAAAATGTACCGTTAAACACATTGAAAAGTATGGAGGAGGATAATGAAAACGATTCTATTTGTAATTCGGACAAGAGTTTTGAATTAAGAGATCTTGTGGCCTCATTAGCAAGTAGTGTTTTGAAAATGCAAGCAAGCATATCAGATATGGCTAGAAGTCAGAATAATACATTAGGAGTAATGAAGAATGAGATAGGTTATGTTTCACGGTGGAAGGGGCATTGGGAAAATACTAGCCTATTATTCTGTTCAGGAGGTACACCCAATGCAATTTTTAAAAAAATCAAAAAGGGCTTTTCAGGAAACTGATATTCCGGAAACAGCCAGAGTTTCATTAACGATGGATTGCCTAAGAGGTTCAGCTTTGAATTGGGCTCAAGTAAAAGAGAGTTTATTTGGAAATTTTTTGAGAACGCTTTCAAAAATAGGTATTGGGGGGTAGAAGAGGAACATGAACTCTTTTACGAACTTAAATACGGCGAATATAAGTCTGGCAACCGTGCGGAATACTTTGTAGCATTTCAAAATGCCACATTTTCTTTTTCGATGAATGAGTTAATTCATTGTTGAATTTGTATTGGGACGCGCCAGATAGATAGGCAACTAAAAACATTCCTAGAGGTCAGCAGGTGTTTAAGAGTTCTGGCGCGCAGAGCGACAGTGAGCAGAAGGTAGTAGTGGAGGTGACTCGTTTATTTTTTGTGCGATAAGGTTTTTTTTTAGATGAAGGCACTTCAACGTTATTGGATTTGTGTGCAGATTTTCTGAAATATCCTACGCCTAAATGAGAAATTCGAAGGGTCTTTGATCGAACGATGTGGAACCAGGATCTGTTGTTCAATGAGACGACCTTTATCGGTCACCTCACGCATTTGACACACACTTCACGTTTCTTTCTATCTATATAGCTGGTAATCTAACCATTACTACGAAAAGTTACTTATATAGACAAACATCCTCGTTTTGAGACGAAATCATCCTGATTACCATATCTCGAGCTATACGAGATGCCGATATAGTGGACGAAGAAAGTTAGGATCCCTGGAAGTAAAAGCTGGTATTCCACTGCTGTCTCATAGGACATCAACAGAGACCGTCTTCAAACAATAAGGCCAGATCCTTTTGATTATTATTTTTTACTTGATGAGAGCATTAATACACACTATCACGTTTTCGTGAATATTAAAACGGCTTATCAAAAAATTTGATCGTCTGAATGCACTTTCGTCAAACCCATCTATACTTATGATTGTAAACTGAAGCATAGTACTATGACGAGGTGAATGCTCACTTTATTATTGATGCATCATTTTGGATCTTATGAAAAGATAAATAATTGATTTTCAAATGAATTCCTTGTATACCTGGAAATGCTAGATAGGTATATGAATATTTTATATATTTATACATACGTCAACGACACTTGAGACTATTTGTATCACAGTGTAATAGAATGAAATTTCAGTTAGGTGGGAAACACTGTTACTTTAATTCACTCAATTGTCACTCATGTCAAGATTGAATTTCAGTTCTTGCATTTCGTTATTTGGAAAAACTTGATTTCAGTATTCACTTCAACTATAAATTACGTGGCGCCCTCTCTCTTATTTTTGGTAAATAATATTATGTTCACATATTTTCATTCACTCATTACCTCACCCCAAAATACTCTTCGATGAACAGCTGCCGTCACCATCTTATGATCAATCAGAGATACTTATTTAAATTCTGAATCAAGAAAAAGAAGTTTCATAAGTGGCGCCTAAAACGTGGGGCCCGAGTAAAAAAAAAATATACTTGACATCTCAAATTGATATTCATTTGAGTGAATTGAGTGGAATCAAGTATTGTTTGGTGTGTTCAATTAAGAATCAGATAGTCATATTTGAGTCCCTGATTTTTTTCGTGGAGTGTAGATGAATCTTTATCTTTCGATTTGTTTTTGTTCTTGGCATTATGTCGAAGTAAATTCGAAAGTATTGTATAGAGAAAGACAATATTGTACAGAAATTGGAAATCATCCGCGAGTTTTTCTATAGGAAGTTATAAAATGATACAGGACGTTTACCGGCCTGACAATTTTGGAGTGTCGGAATTATGACGTGTTGAAATCTCAGTTTTTACATCAGGTGGAAAATCAATTCTCAGACCATACTTGAAATGTTATAATCTGTATACAGAGTGACTCAAAAAATATTGATGATAATAATTTTTTAGTTTTTGGGAGGACTACCATTCTTATTGAGAAAAATATTAATTCGTGAAATATGGATGTCTCGTTCGAACCCAACCATTTATTATTGAATGAACTTAATTACGAACTGAGAATTAGGCAAGTAGTGTCTGGTCGTCCTCAAGATGAGAAGAGAAAAGAGAAGAATTTTATCTAGGTTGTTGGATAAAAAACGTCATACGGTTGACTTATGTTCCCTCATAGATCCCGATTTTGTATTTGGAACTGAGGTACAAGAAATTAATGATACTCTTGAATCAATCGCCGCGCTTGTTTCGGAATTCGAGGGTCCTGCTACAGACTCATTGTTCAAGAGATTGAAAAGTCGTTTAGCCCATGTTAGAGTCACTGGATGGTATTAGTTTGATAAGAGTTCGGACACAGAAATGACAACGGTTAGGGTTTTTCAATGTCTAGATTTATAAAGTTACACACCTTGCA